CGGGGCAAATTAGCGCGCGATATCGCGCTCCCATGCATTTCAATGGGGCAAAGGGTCCTGCTGTCGTGTGTCGCTACAGCAGGACCCTTTTTGGAGCGGATTTAGCCGCGATTCAAGCTTGCTCAATGCAAGCTTGAACGCGATATCGCGTGGCAAATCTCGCAATGTCGCGCAATATGCAAATCGCGCAGTGGGAACGGGGCCTTAGGCAATCATTGGTTTTCACATGTTGAGCGTTTTACAGAGCGTAGGAACGCGCTGTAAAACGCCCAGGTGTGAACCAGGCCTAAGGGGAATATATATAAATCCAATCAATCTGAATTCACTGCAGGTGAAACAAAGTGCATGTGTCTTAAATGAGTGATTAATTCACCAGCAGTGTGTGTTTGGTAAAATTAATTGCTTTAAGGTGGCCATACACTCTACAACCATCGCAAGACTTTAGTCTTGCGATGGTTGTACAGGGATTAAAAAAACGTACGATCTGCCTATCTTGGACAGGCAGATCGCACTCTCGATCATCGCAAGCCCGCCCCCCTGATGGGCGGGCTTCCGATGACCGCAATGCTGAACGGGCAGTGTGCACACCGGCCCGCTCGGCATTTGTCTTCCGAGCACCGTTCTAACCAGCCGAGAATCGTACGATTCCCGGCTGGTTTTCGAACATGCTGGTTCGACAGAAGACGTGCGACCGTACAGTAGAAACGGTCGCACGTCTCCGTTCACACTGCTCGATTATCGTATGAAAAACCGATCGCATACGATTATCGTACGATAATCGTGCAGTGTATGGGCACCTTTATAAATATCCCTCTACATGTACAGGACTGCTAAAAATTAGAAAATAAACCTTGAGAAGCATAAAGGAAGTATAGCCCACCTGCTCAATACTTACATTTTCCATTCAGATATACCTATATTCAGTGCTGTACCCCACTCCCTGTTGATAATCTGAGAACACGTGCTTGTATTGCAAAAGAGGAATTCCAGCACACGCATTGAAGGTTGTCTGTATCAGAATTCAAACCTGACTCGGTGGGGTGCTTGCCAGGTTCTACCTGCAGAGATATACCGATAAATCAGATTGAGGTAAATTGAAAGGGCTTTCTGTCTTTAGCACAGTTACAGTGTTTTCTGGAGAGCATTCGTAACCTAAAGTAGATGTAAATGCAATCAGGAAAATCCCATGTAATCTTTAACATGTTACTGTGTTTTCAAAAGTCATTTCAATACGTTACAGCTTCATTAAAATGGTTGGGGATCTTGCCACAAAGGTCCTTTTTTAGGTACTTTCTCTTCTAGGGTTACATTGTCCCCATCTTCCAATCGTGCACCTGAATTGAATTGTTACAGTGGCATACGAGCTTGCGGGAGAGACTACTAGTCGCAGTTTCAACACACAATATGCAAGCATGATCCATCAGGAAACCTGCCGTGCAGCCATCACTGGAGAATACATACATGTAGACAGGAAGTGGCTGCCAAGAGGCAGTGGGAAATCAACATGACTGTACATGTTTCTAATATAATAAAGGTTTTATAGGTGTAGTTTATTTTTTTAATGAATGAATAAAGCAAAAGTATGAACCCCAAGACATCACAGCACAAATAATCGGTGTTGTACTGCAAAAAAAGTCCAGTCCTTGACCCCATTACTTTATAGTAATCTTTTGAACCGAGTTCAATGTCTGTGTTAAAGTAAATATTTCCTGATAAGACCTAGCCCTGCATGTGTCATGGTTAAGTGAATCACAAGGTAGTGAAGTCATTGGTTGAACATGACAACCAAGGAACTAGCATTTAAAAAAAAAAGTCAGCAGCTCTAATCCCGATATAACACCTCAATTTCGTAGCTACATAGAGGTAGATACGGTGTAAACATTAATATAAACAATTCAAGCAATATTATGCATGCTGGCTTGGTCACTGCTACCACGCTTTCCAGTTGACACTGTTTATTACAAGTAAAGGACACCCTCTGCCTTTTGTATCAAAGTTTTTTTTCCAAATCTTTTTAGAGCGTCATTTTCTACTTAGTAAAGTCTGTGATGATTGTTTGCCATCAGAATTTCCCAATACCATGGGCTGCCTCTTTTGCTCTGTTGTTTAGCTTGACTTATATTATTTTGCCAGATATTCCCCCCCCCCCCTCCAAGGACATTGCTTCCTTTCAGTAATCTACTTACATTTCCTGATGGAAATAGCAATATCGTCTGTCATAATGTTACATAAATTATTACATTCTATCAGACAGATCTGAAAATAATTACATTCTTACAATAAGCAATCCTATAACGAGCAGTTCTAATGGTTGCAAAATGTGTGTAATAGTTGTTAATATTACATGTCCCATTATGTTTTAGTCCTTGTATTTGATCAAAGTAAAGCACAGCACAAGGCTAGATATTGGTTTTCTTTAACCTTTTATTTTCTGTCTGATATAAATAACATAATAAGAATGCCACATTGTAAATCTATAAAAGCAACGGGGTGTTTTGTGACTTTGTTTTTCTCCGTGTTAACTGTTGCCATCTTTTAGCTTGTGACTTGTCTTATACAATGCCTTTATGTAGATCCAATGTATGCAGATCCAATGTATACAATAGATCAGTGCTCTCTGTATGTAAACAGTGATGTATGTATGTATGTATAAATAGTGTGTGTGTCACCTCCTCCCATGCTCGCCTCCAGGATTTTTCCAGAGTGTCTCCCATCCTCTGGAACTCCCTATCCCAATTTGTTTGCCTATCTCCTACTCTGTCCACCTTTAGGCCTTGTTCACACCAAGCCCGTTCCAATAGCAGAGCAGTTACAGACCGGAGCAAAACTGCGTCCAATGTATTCCAATGGTATTTTTAGCTCCAGTTCACATCGCAGTGTTCCGGTCCAGAGCAGGTAAAAAAACTGCAGCAGGTCCTATTTTACCTGCTCTGGAACGCATGGAAATGCATCAAAAAAGCGTGCAAATGCCCTGGAACGCGCTGAAAGCCCATTTTAAACTAACATTTTTGTTATTTTTTTTAACCAAAAACGGCCCAGAACGCATCAAAAACGCGGCACAACCCACTGCATGTGCAGAAACTCATGCAGATCTGCTCTGCATTTGGTGTGAACAAGGCCTTAGGCAATCCTTGAAAACTCATCTCTTCAGGGAGGCCTATTCCACCTCGATATAACAGTGCTTTCAGTTCTTCCATTAAATCATCCCAAACAGTTATTACCTTTTGTATCACTTGCCCCCCTTAATAGATTGTAAGCTCTCACGAGCAGGGCCCTCCTACCTGAAATTGTATTGTTAAATGGATGGTCTCCCTCAGTTTTTTAAAGTGCTGCGCAAACTGTTGGCGCTATATAAATCCTGTATAATAATAATTTTAATATGGGCAGCCTAGGTCTGCTCAAAACAAGCAATTCATTTAAGAATAATCTCCATGCAATATAGTAAAACAATCACAGACCTGAGCCACTAGCTACATTTTTGGCCAGTTCAGTATCACTGGTTCTACTAATTGAAGTACCAACTAACGAAAAAAGGAAACTGTTTTTCCACAGACTTCTTCAATAAGAAAGTAGTGAAAAATAAAAGCATTAACAGAAGCAGGCTCTGGTCTCAGAATTAGCCTGACTTTAAGGAACCCGGTAAAGACAGAAATATGGAGGTTGTCATTGCTGACCTCTACTTCTGAAAATACAAGTTGCCTAACTTTCCTGCAGTTTCTGTGGCCTCAATGCTCTTTGAGTCACTGACCTAGAATGAGTATTCACATTTGTAGTTCTACATTAAGGTTGGCTTCACTGGCTGTGTGCTTGTTTAAAGTTTATAACTGAAAAACAAAATTCCGCCAGGAACAGGCAGGCAAATAGCATGTTAGGAGATTGGCAATGGCAGCCTTTTATATTTCACTCCTGTCCCACTAACCATTGTAAGTACAAGACAAGATGTGACTTTTGTTCGGTTGTCTTAGAAAATGGAGCAAGGATTCTAAATCGGATACCGTTTTCATGTTAAAAGATTTCAAATTCAATTTATTACAGTTTGTGTGAAAATTCTAGCCACTGAAGGACAATTTAGACAAGATTGTTGTAGAATATAGCATTTCTAATATGAAATATATCCATTGCGAACTATAGTTTCTATTATGAAAGAGAAATATAAAAAAACATGCTGTAGTTGAGGGTTATCATGGAGATATTCTTTAAGATGACAATATCTCTGAGTCCTGAACCTACGCCATTTGTAATCCATATACAGAAAGTAGGTTACATTTGTATTAGCCATGTCGAAAAGTCAGATAATCAGAAATAAATTTGTCTGGAAGTGCGAATCATCTTAACCTACCCATAGACTGACTGTCCAATAGATTCATTTGTTGTATGTCTAAATTAATGACATCAGATGGAAAGTTCTCTGATTTGTTACTGCTTATATACTCGAGAGGCAGAATAGAAATGTGGTCACATAGTAATTGCAACCCTGCAGTATATGACCATTTCTATTGTCCCACCCATAAGTTAGGAAATTGTTTAGAAGATTGTAGATAGGTCAAATTCCTTTAGGACCAAATCTTGTTGAACATACAGTATTGCAAAAAAACTTTTGGCAGGTATCTTATGCGTATTGCCTTTTACTAAAAGTGTAGTTAATACTGTTTCTTATCTGTGACTAGTAGTGTGACCAGCACCTTGTATTTCTAGTGTGGAATGAATGATAATACTGTAAACAACTCCTTCCCTGAGCCTGGTACACATGTTTTACTGGTCTACAAATACAAATCCTGTGGTGTACTATGCAGTATGCTTAGAAATGTTTAAATTCACATATAAAGCCGACAAAAAACATTGTGTGTTATAATAGATAACCAGCTGTCTCCCAAGGCTTGGAAAAGCCTATAATTATTATTGAACATACCTGTATTTTTTTTATTTTGATGCTTTTCAACTTTCCAGAAAAAAAGTTACATTGGATGTAAAAAACTGCAATAATGTTCTTCTTTTTAAAGGATGTGGAGGATGCTGGTGAGACCCAAGAAGTGAACAATGAGCAGTCTACTGGATTCTCTAAGAGAAAGATACTTTCCAACTGGGATCGCTATGAAGCTACAGAAAAAAAGGCAGATAATGAAGTGTTGCAGCGTGGGACAGATTACAACGTCCTACTCAGCTCTGCAGGTTAGTGCTTTGGATCTTTATAAATCCCAAAATATTTGTCCATATATGTGCTTTATACATTTTTCCATGTATGGCCTTTTTTTAGCTTACTTTAACGTCTGGCGGTCGTAATGGTTTGTCTTGTGTCCTTAAATATTGATTTTTGAACACTGAATGAATTGTTGTGTTGTGCATTTCTGACAGTGCGTGGGTAGAGGCTGGCATTTACCTGATGGCTTGCCATGCGCTCGAGGGATGTGTGAGTTGAAAGTGTGCAGATTTTAGAAGAAATATTCTTTTGTTATTTTCAGGAACTAGTTAATCCCTTGATAGCTACAAAAAAAGTAAAAGTAACAATATACTGTGGTTTGGCAGAGAGACTGCAAGAAAACAATGTGTCAGTGGGATGTTATATCGTGTTATATTGGAAACAGCTCAAATAGGTTCAAATACTTTTGGATAGCATCACGCTGCACCTTGAGCAATAATGAAGCCCTGTTTATTGCCCAGCACAGCTTTTCAGTAGCATTGGTAGCCTGCTTTGAACACCACCATATTATTGTTGGTTCTCATATTGGAGAGACTCCGCTCTCTGCTCAATTCACTTCTAGGGACTATTTAGTGTTCAATTTTAATTTTATTATAATTTACATTAATTTTATTTTGCACTGCGGGTAAGGACCTGCTGCCCGGCTTTCTGATTGGTTAGGGAGCCTTGCAGTGTCGCTAGGAAGCTCGGCTTCCTAGCCAAACAGGAAGCCGGGAGGCGTGTCATGACCGGCCAGGAAGCTGGCTCCCTGGTACTGCCGGTCAGAGGGAATCTCTGATTTTGGGGAATCTCTGGTTCCGGTATCGGGGTAAGTATTGGTACCGATACCAGCATCTGTATCCGTGCATCCCAAATAATAAAAAAATATCTATATCTATATATATATATATAGATGTATATATAGCAATATGTAATGTGTAAAAAATATATACTGTACATGTATTATTATTTTCTTTAAGTCCAACATTTAAAGACTGTTTATAGGGCAGGATTGTACAATAATTTAGTAGCATTAAATCCTTCAGTCTTATTAGCCTTTTCTGTGTCAGCTAACCCTTTATTGAAGCAGTAATGACTAACAGTGGTTTATATGTTTAAAGCAGCCATTTGATTAATAACCAAAATATTGATTTTGGAAACATTGCTTTAAGTGCCTGGTCACACGACGTCCGTTTTGTGTGCTGACCTGATCCGTACGCTCCTGCACTCAAAATGCATCCCAATGTATCCCTATGTGTTTTATGGGCTACAGTTCTCACGTGCGCAGTCCGTGCAGCTTACGACAGAAAAATACTGCATGTCAGGAAACGGTCAGGAAACGCAAAACGCGTCAAACGCACTGCACTGCAGCTAACATACTAACAGCCCCACTCCAGCAAAAAAAAAAAACTTTTTTTTTATTTTTTACTGGAACGCATCAAAAACGTGGCCAAAACACACTGCATCAGTAGCATCGCGTCTGCAGATCCGGACCTGATCAGGACCTGAAACTCATGTGAACAGGCCCTAAAAGTGATAGACTCTTCAAGATTGCCAAGGAAAAAAATATAACGGTTGCATATTTCACAATGTGATACATCAACTTTTACTTGGCGGTCAGTAATATTGTCGCCCAGCAACATTCATATAACATGAACACTATAATACAAATCATGATAAAAATAATATGTTGTGCTTTTGTACATATTTTCTTAATTTTTTGGTGTACAGGATTAAAAAAGAAAATTTTAAATATATTTCTTTTTTTCGTCCTATAAATATGAAATATTGCAGAATCAAATATTTGTATTTTCCTTTTGAGACAGTAGGTAGAGCTTTAGGCCCCTTTTTACCTGTTTTCCTGTATTTCATTTAGTCCTGTTATAGAAATCTTGTAATTTACAGAGCTCAGTACCACAAAATGAAATCTGCTCAGAAAATGTGAATAAGTCAGAGCAGTGACTCCTTCCCCCGTCCCTCCTGAATGCCTCTGTCCACGTTTTTAGTTAAATACATTGATGGAAATGTATCAAAACTGGAGCAGACAGAATCTGGAGCAGTTAACCAACCAGCTTTTCTCTTCCGTGTATCCAGTTAAGCTTTGAAAATGAAAGATAGAATCTGATTGGTTAACTGGGCTAGGCATAGGCAACTGCTCTAAATTCTATGTGCTCCAGTTTTGATACATTCCTCTCAATGAGGGGAATGTATCAAACCTGGACCAGACAAAACCTTGAGCAGCAGTGCATGGCAACCAATCAGTCTCTCTCTTTCATTTTCAAAGCTTAACTGAAGAAATAATCTGATTTGTTACTCTGAGCAGCTGCTCCAGATTCTGTCTGTTCCAGTTTTAATAACCCCACATGTGCCTTAAATAAGATAATTCCAGTTGTTGTAAAACAAGAGGTCAGGAGTGGCAGGCTCCATTTTTTTCCTCACATGTTTGCTTTAAAATACTGCAGCTATGCCTTCTGGTTTAAAATGGGTCAGCTAATGCCAAGGAAAAAAATATAACGGTTGCATATTTCACAATGTGATACATCAACTTTTACTTGGCGGTCAGTAATATTGTCGCCCAGCAACATTCATATAACATGAACACTATAATACAAATCATGATAAAAATAATATGTTGTGCTTTTGTACATATTTTCTTAATTTTTTGGTGTACAGGATTAAAAAAGAAAATTTTAAATATATTTCTTTTTTTCGTCCTATAAATATGAAATATTGCAGAATCAAATATTTGTATTTTCCTTTTGAGACAGTAGGTAGAGCTTTAGGCCCCTTTTTACCTGTTTTCCTGTATTTCATTTAGTCCTGTTATAGAAATCTTGTAATTTACAGAGCTCAGTACCACAAAATGAAATCTGCTCAGAAAATGTGAATAAGTCAGAGCAGTGACTCCTTCCCCCGTCCCTCCTGAATGCCTCTGTCCACGTTTTTAGTTAAATACATTGATGGAAATGTATCAAAACTGGAGCAGACAGAATCTGGAGCAGTTAACCAACCAGCTTTTCTCTTCCGTGTATCCAGTTAAGCTTTGAAAATGAAAGATAGAATCTGATTGGTTAACTGGGCTAGGCATAGGCAACTGCTCTAAATTCTATGTGCTCCAGTTTTGATACATTCCTCTCAATGAGGGGAATGTATCAAACCTGGACCAGACAAAACCTTGAGCAGCAGTGCATGGCAACCAATCAGTCTCTCTCTTTCATTTTCAAAGCTTAACTGAAGAAATAATCTGATTTGTTACTCTGAGCAGCTGCTCCAGATTCTGTCTGTTCCAGTTTTAATAACCCCACATGTGCCTTAAATAAGATAATTCCAGTTGTTGTAAAACAAGAGGTCAGGAGTGGCAGGCTCCATTTTTTTCCTCACATGTTTGCTTTAAAATACTGCAGCTATGCCTTCTGGTTTAAAATGGGTCAGCTAAATAATTCAAAGCTTATTTCCTTTTGGGTATTTGGCTTTTTTCAGTAACTAAGAGGGGTAAAATCCTGTTTTCTGTTCATAGCCATTTCTCTGTTTGCAGGCTGAATCTTTGCAGCAAGAAGCTGCCATTGATATTCTTGTTTCAGGAAAATGGCATGAAATCTGCTGTCTCTTTCAATTGCTATCAGCTGCATTAAACACTAAATATAGACGATAAGGAATCATCCTCCTGCTTCAGGATTCTTTTCCTGTGTCTTATAGGGTTAGTTGGGCTCCCACTTCCCTGAGGCTGGTGTCTGTCATTCCCATTTACACTTCTGTGTTTGATTTTGGTTGGAAGTTTGTGACAGGACAGGGCTGTTCTGTGCAAGAAACTGTAAAAGATTTACCAAAGGTGCCCATACACTATGCGATTATCGTACGATAATCGCGGGAAATCCCGCGATCGTACGATAATCGCAAAGTATTTAAAAGGCGTGCGACCGTTTCTACTGTACGGTCGCAGGTATGTTGTCTAACGAGCATGTTTGAAAACCAGCCAAAAATCATACGATTTTTGGCTGATTTGTGGCATGCTCAGGAGACAAATGCCGAACGGGCCGGTGTGCGCATTCGCACACTGCCCGTTCAGCATTGCGGTCATCGGAAGCCCGCCCCTCCTCGGGACGGGCTTGCGATGATCGCAAGTACGATCTGCCTGTCCGAGATGGGCAGATCGTACGTTTTTAAAATTACTTTACAACCCTCGCAAGACAAAAGTCTTGCGAGGGTTGTAAAGTATGGCCACCTTTAGTGTGCCATCAAGGAAGCCTTGTAAATTCAAGATAACCATGTCAAGCAGTCAGCTGAACACAGATACTATTAATATTACCAGCTGAGTTCTTAAAGTCCAGATTCTTTCCATTTCTCAAAATAATCCTCCTTATGTTTGAGAACCCACTTTTAGAAGAGACTGTTTCTGTATAGCCGGAAGATAAGGCAAAGCTTTCAAACTAGTTTCATAATCTGTGCTAGGATTATTATTACATTGTTATTATCCAAGACTTTTATTTCTCATACCTGGAATTACACTCCTTTCCCCTCGTGCTTCACTCACAGTGATTTTTAAGACCTGTTCCCTTAAGAAGGTATTTGCGTCGTCTTAATAATATCCTCCCTCCTTTCTCTCTACGCTAGAGCTTTAACAAAGCTAAATGCTTCCTGGATGTCAAATGCATTGACAGTCATCTTTTAGAAACCATTCAAGCACTGATTCCATTGTACTTTATTTTCGGCTCTCTTTCCATTTTAATTTTTTTAAATCTGCCCAGAGAAAACAGTGTATTTTCCTGTACCAGTACTAAATGTGTAAATGATAACACTTTGCTAAAGACCTTGCTATGTGATAAATGATTTTAAATGAATAACCTAGCTAAAGTTCTTAATGAAAATGGCAAATTTACTTGAATAAACGCGTATTTCCACTTTTGCAGTTGAATTTGTGAAAACCGCTTCATATGTTTGTTATGTGTTCCTATTTATACAGCATACTGAAAAACAATAATACAAAAAGTCTAGC